AGCACAAGGGCCTCACTTCTGGCTCCTGTCACAAGTGTCATGACCTCATTCCTTCGGTAGGAACAATATTCCATTGTGTTTATACTCCATGTTTTGTTTTTCTTAACCACTCACCCACCCTTGGGCACTGGGCCTCTTCGTTTCTGAGCGGAGTGAACGGCGCTGCAGTAAACTCAGAAGTACCTTCGTCTGGTTGGCTTCCCGGTGCCTCGTTGGCTTCCCGGGTGCCTCGTTGGCTTCCCGGGTGGCTAGTTGGTTTTCTGGATGTCTCCTTGGTTTCCTTTGGACTTGTAGGCGGGAGGGGGGATTCTGGGTCATATGTAAACTCTGCTTTTAGCTGTCGAGGGAACGCGTGCTGTTTTCTGTGTTTCCGTATTCTGTTCTCTTTCCCGTGCCACATGCAAATGTCCATCTCTGTTTTGGATAAAAGCCATTCTTCTACGGTGGGATCCAACCTCTCCGGCTTTGATTTGCAGTCCTGTGACGATGGCCAGCGTTAAACATTTCCCACACACCCATTGGCCATGCGCTTCTCTTCTTTTGAGAAATGTCTACTTTATATTTCATTGGTTTGTCTTTTTGTTACTGACTTCTTGATCTATTCTGGACAGACAGATAATTTGCAAACACTTTTCCTTTCTGTAGGTGGTGTCTCTTCTTCAATCTTTTTTAAAAATTATTATTGAGCTGAAGGGTTTATCTTGGTGTAATCCTGCATGTCTATTTCAGTTTTTGCTTCCTGTTTTGGGGTCTTGTCTAAAAATATCCACAGTGGTCTCAACATCCTGAAGAGTTTCTCCTGTGCCTTTTCCCTAGAAGTTTCATGTCTAAGGGTTAAGCCTTTGCTGCATTTGAGTTCTTGGAATTAGTGAGTGATACATGTCTGCTTTCATTCTCCAGGCGAATACCTAGTTTTCCAAGTGCCATTTGTTGAGAGGATTGCCAGATCAGTTATTCCATTGGTCTATGTGTCTGTCTTATATAATGCCATGCTCTTTGGATGGCTATAGCTTTGCAGTATAGTTTGAATCCGGATAGTATAATGCCTTCTAAATTGTTCATTTTTTTTCAGCATGATGGCTATTTGGAGTATTTTCTAGTTCCAAATAAATTTTGTAATTCTTTTCTAGCTATGTGAAAAGTCCCATTGGTATTTTGATAGGAATTACATTGAGCCTTTGGGTAGTATGGGCATTTCAACAATATTGATTCTTCTAGAAAATGAACATGGGACATTTTCTTCTTCTTCCTTCCCTCCCTCTTCCTTCCTTCCCTCTGTTTTCCTTTCTCCCTCCCTCTTCCTTTTTCCTTCTCTCCTTTCTTTCCCTTCCTCTTCAGTTTAATTGATGGTGTTTTATAGTTTTCATGGTCAAAAGTCTTTTTCATCGTGGTGAAATTTATTTTTGTAGCTACTGTCAATGTTAGTGCTTTCTTGATTTCCATTTCTGATAATGTATTGTTGGTGAGTACTGTACTGGTTTCTAGTTTGCGGACTGAACTGAGGGCGTCACACATGATGACAGCTGCTCAGCATTGCGCTGTATTCCCAGTCCACAATGTTGGAAGTTTTTGTCCTTTACCCTTGGTGAATTTGAAGACTGGTTTTACCAGTTTTTTTTTTTTTTTCATGGTTCTTGATCTCTGCAGCTAAGATGATCTCATTTTCAAAGAGTGGCAAATCGACTTGTCCAATTTGGACTTATTTTTTTCCTCTTGCTTGCGGTCTATAGCTAGGACTTCAAGAACTATATCTTAAACATGTCTATCTTCATGACCTCCATGAGGAAAACTGAAGAAGGATGGAAAGGAAGGAGAAGGAAGGAAGAGGGGATAAGGGAGGGAAGGAGAGAGGGAGGAAGGAGAGAAAGGTGTCCCATGTTCATGGTCTTAGAAGAGCCAGTATTGTTGAGATGCCCATACCACCCAAAATAAGCTAGTTACATGTGACGCTCTTATACTGAACCGTATTCCTTATGGTCTTATACTGAGCCATGTTCCTTGCACTCTTATACTGAGCCATGTTCCTTAAGTCTCTAGTTTGTTCAGCCCCAACCCTTGACTGACATGCAACACTATTTGACCACTTGCACAGTTGTGAATGGTTTGTTTCGTGAGGTGGTTGCGGATTCCCTTAAACTGCTCAGGAGCTGACAATTCAAAAGGTTACCCCGTCTACCCCACACTCCTGTGCCCTGTGCGAAACGGAGTGACCCGGTGACAGCACTGAGTGGACAAGGTGCTCTGAAGTGATCAGCTGCTGCATGGAGCCCCCATGTTCAGCCATCTGGGTTGGGCTTTGCGCCTACATAATCTGATGGGCAGGGTTGCCGAATGCCAAGGTATCTGCAACGTGACTTGTGATGGTGAGGTGAGGACCACCTCACCATACACAGTGTAAAAGACAGGTGTTGGATGTGCAAGGGTTAAGTGTTCTTTTAATTATTTCATTTGCTTACATTTGTGTTTTGCCTCCATGTCTATGTGGCAGTGTCAGGTCTCCTGGAACTGGCGTTTTAGACAGTTGTGAGCTGCCATGTGGGTGCTGGGATTTGAACCCAGGTCCTTTGGAAGACCAGTCAGTGTTCTTAACCCTGAGCCATCTCCAGCCCCACGATTAAGTGTTTTATTGAAAGGCAAAACCACAGAGTTTTATGTAGTTTGTAAAAGAATATGGTTTATATTATAAAATAGTATGTCACCAAAAGAAAGCAAAACGTGAATGTTTATGAATCCTCTGTAGAGAGATCACAAGCGGCATTTCATGGCATTTAGGGGAAGACGTCTTGATTGCTTTTAAGAACTCAGTTGAGTTCAAGTCTCTACTGTTATCAGTCCCGGGGCTTATGAAGAGCACTGAGGCCCTGTAAATCTTTGCTTTGTGATCTGCTCTACAAGGCCCCAACTAAGGCACATTGCTGGGTAAGCACAAACACCAGGATGTTATAGATCAGATATAGCTAGTCCTTATTCCCCTGCCCATGTCTGCCATTCTCCAGGTACTATGTGGGGCCAGGGAGGGGCACAGAAGGGATGTAAGGAGGCCAGCTATGTCAACTCCTCCCCTACTATGACAGAGTGTCTGACAGAAGCAGTTCACAGGAGGAGGGATTATTTTCTGGGTTCTGGATCGGGGCTACAGTCCGTCATGGCAGAAAAGGCATGGTGGCCCGTCACTGTGGCTGTGGGGTGCAGGGGGCTAGTTAACCAATGGGAAGCAGTAGAGAGCTTGGGCGAGAACTGACATGTCTGTGAGCCAAGGAGCTTGCTCCCCAGAGATGCACTTTCTCCAGCTAGCCCCGACTCCTAAGGCTGCACAATCCCGATAACAGCCACCAGCTGGGGACTAAAGTGTTCAAGTTCATGAACCTGTGGGTGACATTTCACACTCGGCCTGTAACACCCACTGTGGTCTCTGCCCTGAACACCATATAGAAAGCTGTAATATGCTATTTACTTGCAAAATAACATGTGGCTGTTTTGGCGTGGACATTTAGGTGAAGCCTTGAAGAAAGGTAGGACTTTGACAGACAACCTTGAGCATGTGGAGCTATTAGCAGAGAGCAAGGGAACAGGTGCCCTAGTTTGAAGGTCACAGCTGCGATAAACACCAGGAGCAGGAGCAGCTTGGGGAAGACAGGGTTTCCCCAAGCTTAGTCTGCCTTAGAGCAGCACCTCATTGCCGCCATTTTGTTCACTGGAAGGGATATCCTGCCCCATGACCCGCACTGAGTGTTTCTAAGATGGTGTGCCTAGTTTCTGTATCTTACCTCTTCATGAATGTGTGGCATCCTAGTTGGGGCTCTGTTGCTGTGATGAAACACCGTGACCACAAGCAATTTAAGGAGGAAATGGTTTATTTGCTTAATCTCCCATATTACAGTTCATAATCAAATGCTGTCAGGGCAGGAGCTCAAGCAGGGCAGGAACCGGGAGGCGGGAGCTGATGCAGAGGCCACGGAGGGGGCTGCTCACTGGCCTGCTGTATGTTGCTTGCCCAGCCTGCTTTCTCATAGACCCCAGGCCTGTCAGCCCAGGATAGCGCCACCCTCCATGGCTGGGTCCTCTCCATCAGTCACTCATTAGGAAAATGCTCCACAGGCCTGCCTACAGCGTGATTTTATGGAGACTTTTCTCACGAGGGTCTCTCCTCTCAGGTGACTCCAGCTGTGTCAAGTTGAAATAAAAGTACCCAGCAACATGCAGTGGATACATAAAATGTTTTTCCATGGCATCTGCATGGTAGGAGGAGAAAAGTGACCTCTGCAGGTTGTCCTCTGACCTCCATGTGCGCGCGCACACACACACACACACACATCAAACACACAATAAGGAATGAATGAATAAGCAAACATGAGGCCCGTAGTGGCTTCCTGGTGTTTCTTCATTGGAAGGAAAGCTGAGTGGGATTTGCATGTAACGTAAGGCTCAAGAGGTCCCCATGGATTCTCCATGGGAAAGACTTGGGGTGCCGTTCCCACCTTCCTTGAGCTTCTCAGAAGAAGCTTCAGACCTCAAAAGTGAATGTGGCTGGAAGTCCCAGAGAGACAGCAGCAGTGTAGCACGTGACACTCAGGACCTTCCCGGTCGCACAGCAGACACTGAGGGTGGTCAGGGCAGCTGGCCAGCTGTGCAGAACTCTTCAGTGTTTGTTGTGTTGCTTACTCTCTGTTGCTGTAATGAAACACCACAAGGAAGACATCTTAGGAAAGAGTTTATTCAGGCTCATGGTTCCCGCCGTGAGAGTCAGTGATGGTTGGGACAGCATGGGGGTAGGAGGAGAGACTGCAGAGCAGGAAGCTGAGTGTTCACTCACAAGCAAGAACCAGAGTCCTGCTTCCTCCAGGGAGGCTGCACCCCCAACCTGCCCCAAACAGGACAACTAGGGAGCAAGTGCAGATAGGGAGCCTGGAGGGCGGGGAGGGCTGGTGGAGAGGCAGGTGTGTCTCAGGAGCCCGCTGTCTTTTGCTGCTGTGGCTGACGCCCCCACCCCTGCTTTACAGGGGGCCTGGCCCTGGCCCAGGTGCTCTTCTTCTATGTGAAGTACTTGGTGCTGTTTGGTGTCCCGGCTCTGCTCATGCGCCTGGATGGACTCACGCCGCCGCCCCTCCCCCGCTGCGTCAGCACCATGTTCAGCTTTACTGGGATGTGGAGGTCAGTCTCGAGGTTTGCTTACATCTTCTGGGCGTCTGGGGGGCTTGGCTGGCTTACAGAGTTTGGCTCCTGTTCTCCCTCTTTACCGAAGCCATGCTTGGTAACACACGTTCTTTATCCTGCCAACATGATGGTCGCCTTTGCTTTCTGAGCCTCGCAAGGCCATCAGACTGTGGTGGTCGGGGACCAGAGCGACTGTTTGCCCACACAGGATTGTCTGCAGGGGTTTCTTACCAGGGACATTATATTAGTTACTTGTCTCGTGGCTGTGATAAAGCACCCTGACCAAAGCAGTTTATGGGAAAAGGCTTGATTTTGGTTCATATGAAGTCTAAAGTATAAAGTCTGTCATGGTAGGGAAGGTCCTAGAGGTGGGAGCAGCTGGTCACGCTGCATCTGTATCCAGGAAGCAGAGAGCAGTGCATGCTGGTTTTCAGCTGGCTTTCTCTTTTTGACACAATCAGGGCCCAAGCCCAAGGAATGGTGCCACCTACTTTTAGAGTGATTCTTTCCACCCTAGTAACCTATTCAGGATAGTGTGCCAGGAGGCTTGTTTCCCAGGTGAATCTGGATATGGTTAAGTCGACAATAGGTATCACCACAGACATGCTACAAGATCCCCATTACTCTGATTTCCTTGGAAATGCCTGTGTAAGTCACTCTGTTAGCTAAAGCCCAGGCCAGCACTCACTGCCATTCATTCATTCTCAGGTTTTGAAAGCCCTCTGGTCCAATCTTCTTACCTTTTCAGTAATAATAATAATAAGATGTGCACATCTGTCTGTAAAAGTAATTTTTATTCACCTGATGTAACTGTTGTCTCAGAGGTTTACTGTCTTCAACTGCTTACCTAGGCCTAGTCCTGGAAGCTTCCAGCCTTCATAAACTCTTATATGTCTTGAATGTTTTCACCCTCTAAGACTTACTACTGAATAAGCTCACCCTTTCTTGTTCTTACTGAACTCTGACTGGCTGGTTCAACTTAGTTCTATCTCAAATGCCTCTCCAAGCTGACTGATTCAAACTGGCTTCTCTCAGCTTCTGACTGAATTGCTCTGCTTGGCCTCAAGCTAACTTTCCCAATCTGTTCTAATCTTCTGGTTCCTTTTCATTCTCTCGCTTGTTCTGTCTTTTCCTGTGTCTAGCTTGTTCTCTCTCAGCATCCTCTCTCTGTATAACTCTCTTGGTAAAACTGTCCCCTCTCCCTCTCTGTGCTGCTCTCTCTAGCAGCTTCTCTTTCCTCCCAAATCTTTCTGTGATTTGTCACTTTGTCTGCCACTCAGTTAGACATCACTTTCAAACATGGCTGCTTCCTTCTACAAACTCACTTTACCTTCATTGTTTGGGATTAAAGCTGTGTACTAAGGGTGTGTCTGCATTCCAGTCAGGGCAACCACGTTGCTGGATTAAAATTCTGCTACATCTGTCTTCAAAAGTTCTTTTGAAGATGAGGCAAGTCACAGCAGATTTTTCCAGATGTTAGTCCTCAACTTCTCATTGTCCCTGTGCAAGGCTTCATGTGTTAGACTGGCATTTTCTTTGAGTTCTCTCACAGTTTGATTTTTATCCCATAAAGTTATGATTGGCCTGGAATTTTTGTTCCTAAAGATGCCCCAAGTCCCTTGTCAGCGCTGCTAGCTGTTTTCCAGAAGGACTTTTTTGCATCTGTGTTTTTTCTGAGCATGTCCAGTGCGTAGCAAGGGTCAGGATTGCTTCTGTAATTTCAGGCCCCAAGGAAGAAGCTCAGAGCAGGGGGGTGCAGGCGGGGAGGGGGCACTGGCCCAGCAGGGGGAGTCAGTGTCTCCTTAAAGCTTGCTCTTGGGTTTCCTTGCTTGTCTCTGATGTCCTGGCACTGCTCAGTTACCGTTCTGCTTCATTCATCTCTGTAGACCAAGACCCTAGAGAGCAGGAGCAGGGACCCCAGTGACCGTGACTGCACCAGGCGCTGCTCTTCTGCAGAGAAGCATTCCGTGTAGCTTCTCCAAGCTGTGTGGGCACGTGCAAAATCATCTGGGCTTCAGGCATGGCTCAGTCGTGTTCCAGTTGCTCTATGGTTTGGGAGTGTCCTGTAGATATGGAAGGACAGCCAAGCAGCTTCCTGGCATTTCCTTCATCACTTAAGTTCCTGGCTGGCCTTTCTAATGGCACAACTGGGAAATGCTGGCGCAGGGGGGGGGGGAGTGGTGGTGGGGGCTCCTCTTCGTACTAGAGAAGTAGTTTTTGTTAAGATGAACCTCACCAGAAGCTGTTATCATTTGACCTGCTCAGAAACATGGTGTCTTCAGCCAACGATGTGTTCCAGGGGTGGCCTGGGAGCACGGGTGGGAGCCCCACACGGCTCCTCTTTCTCTCTGTTGTGACCATCTGCACTGATGTACTCAGGCAGACCGTTTTCCTGAGGGCTCCTGCAGGGTCGGCTGCCATGGTAACCATGGTGACCAGGGCGGTTTCCTTGTCCTAGTTCACTGACTGCCACAGGTGGCTATGCTTTGTACGGTAAAACAGAACGGCGTCTGTTTTTGTTTAATTTAGTAAAAAACTGCAAATGGCTTTTTAAAAATCATCTTAAGTGTGTGTGTGTGTGTGTGTGTCTGTCTGTGTAGTTATGTGTACAAGAATGCAGTGGCCCTCAGAAGGCAGAAGGTACCTGGCATTGGATGCCGTGGGGCAAGAATTACAGACAGTTGTGCCCCATCTGGTGTGAGTGCTCGAACCAAGTTTGTGTCTTCTTGAAGAGCAGTGCACACTTTTCAATGACGAGCCATTTCTCCAGTCTCCTTATTTAACCTATTTTGACCAAGAAAGATCCTTAATTTAAATAAGCCACAGAGATGGAAAAGCATAACCAGCACCGTTATCCTCAAGAGCAGATGGCCGCTCTGCGGCGCTCCAAAGCGTGAGCCCTTGGAGCGGGGAGGACCCGAAAGGCACTCTCAGAGCACTTGGCAAACAGAAAGCACCCCCGCCAAAACCTGAATAGATTCTCCTCAGGACTGATGCAAGCTCCATGCTAGCTTCTGCAGCGTGCAAGACTGGCAAATTCCTTGGGTATTTTTTGTTTGTTGGTTTAAGCAAGTGTTATGTGTGCCTGTGTGAGCTCAGTGCCCTGCCGGCCTGCGGGTGAGCCGGCATCAGCTCCTCTGACTCCACAGTTAAATGTTCATCAACACGGCCCTCCCCTCCGTATTTTTAGCTTTGCCGGCTGTAGCTATGCTGTGTCTTTGTATGAGGTGCCTCTTCGTGTTAATCCCCTGGATTTCAGAATCCAGGCAGACCTCTGAGGCATGGTGCCCTGCGCGTGGCTCAGGAGACACTTTTTAATTGAAAAGGATGACGAGGCTGATTATCTTCGTGTCATTTACAGGCTGCCCTGCCCCTTCCTCACATAGAGGTTTTCAGGGTGTGTGTGGGTGTGCATGTGTGTCTTGTGCATGTGTGTGTGGCTGTGGTATGTGTGCATGTCCGTGTAGAGTGTGTGCATGTGAAGGCACCTGTGTGCTCACTCGTGGGGGCAGGAGGGAAACCAGTGTGGGCGTCTTCCTCACCTGCTGTCCATCTTTTGAGACGTCTCTCCCTGAGGCTGGAGGTCACTGATTGGCCGGCAAGTTCTGCCTGCCCCTGCCTCCCCTGTACTGTGGTTGCAGACTACACGGCCACACTGGCTTTGTGATGTGGGTGCTGGGGCTGCGGGACAGCTGCGTGGTGACTGTCCTGCCTGCGTGGTTTTCCCCGCTGTGCTGCTCTCCCTCTGGTTTACGGTGCTTCTCGGCACGTTCTGAGTGTGCAGTCTGCTAAGGGAAGGCAAGGCGTGAGGTCTAGGATCCGGGATGGCGCTGATGTTTCTGGGCTGCATGTTGGGAGCTGCTGTGATCCACGACCAGCTCCCTCCTGAGTCTAAGGAGAATTTAGTCAGGAGCAGAGCAGAAAGCTGGCGGGCACATGTTCTCCCAGGCCGCGGCAGACGGGGGAGGTGTGTAACAATCTCCTGAAGGCTCCTGGGTGGCCCTTCTTCCTTTTGGAATTAGCTGTTGAGTGGGGTTTAGAGCCAGCCACCTCACACGCCCGGCAGCAGGCTGGAAGCTGCACCATCCTGCAGTGCGCGTTGCTCCGAAGGCCCCACTGCTGACCCTGTGGTGACACAGAGCAGGTGACTCTGGCCTTCCGCAGAGAGTGCTCTTCCCTGACAGGATGGCTTAGCTTGACCATGAGGAATTGCTGCTGCTCTGATGGCCCACACCTACACTTAGGACCTGCTGGGTCTGTTCACTCCTTTCCCTGGCTTCTGTCTTTCCTGGATCCCCCTGAAATAGGCACAAGTGTAGCAAATGTCCAAGGAGCTCTATTCCCAGGGTGTGAGTTATTTTGTGATCGTATGGAGGGGAGACATTGAAATTTCTCTGCTTAATCTCTAGGTGCCATGCTTTAACCTAGCTGACCTCTCTAATGAACATCTTTGCCAAGTGTCATTAAAGGTGGCATTGCACGTCTGAGGTTCCAAGTTAGCATTCTGATCTTGTCCTCTGGTTTGATTTCTAGCCATGGAGGTGAAGGGTGCAAAGCTTTGGGGTTTCCCACAGTGGCTGGTGAGTTGTGGGTCAGTTTCAGTTATCTCAAGAATCTGAGGCAGCTTGCCTTCCACACTGCTTGCAGGCCAATTCATGCATCATCCATTATCCCAGAGGCATCTGAGTAGTGGTTGATGGGGACCGGACTTTCTAGAGTATGTCTTTGGGTTGAAGAGGCTGCGTCTTCTCTCTCGGGGCATCCACTGCCCAGACTGGTAGGCCAGTAGGAGAATTTCGCTCTCTAGGTGGGTGTTGGTTCTTCTGTGCAGTGAAAGATGAGCCCACTAGTGAGCTGCCGGCTCATCAGGCCTCCTGCCTTTGAGTGACGCGTGATCTCCAGTTGTGGGCAGATGGCAGGCATGGAGTTGTTGAGGTGTGCACCATGGTCTCCTGGCATCGCTGGTGAGAAACAAAGGCTGGGTGAACTTGGAAGGG